ACCTACAGGTGTAGACATAATAAGCAAATAATTTCCTATCTTTAAAAAAAGGCTATTTATACCTATATCTAACATAAAAAAAAAATAAAAAATTCTACTCAGTTTTGGCCTTCTTTTTATTTTAGCAAACAGACAACTACCAATTCTGGCTTTAAAACAACAGCAATTTCCACTGAAACCATGTGCCAGATTTTGATTTAATGGCTCAAGATATTAACGATTCAAACTTGCATTTCACTAATGTTTCAGGGTCAGGTGAAGCTCTCTTTTAAGCTGAGGTGGAGTTTGCCCTCATGCAGTCGGGTCAGCAGAATCTTGCCAGTGACTTTTACAAGCTAATCAGTTCAAGAGCATCTTAAATTAAACATGCAAACTAAAAAAAGAGAGAGATTAATTTTTGCTGATGACCGTAAATGCAAATGATGAGTCAATTAAATGCAAGGCGCAGTTCAATTAATAAGTTGAGGAGCCCATCATTATCATGTTTGCGAAAGTCGGAGCCCACATTCATTATGCTATCAGGTATATAATAATTTAATGAATGGGGCTAATTAAAATGTGCTACTTTAAGGGGAATTGGCGGGTTGGGGTAGAAGGAAAGTGGGCTGGGCCCAAGGAGAGATCATTCCCCGGAGATAACGAACAATCAGACATCTGTTGGCAATAAGACGGCACAAAAATAACATGCTGGGTTACTTTTGTAACATCTATTTTCCTAACATGCCCCCAAACACCTGCTTCTGGAAGAAAGGCTCAAGAAAGACAAAAGACACTCCGAAAAATAAAAAATATCACAGACAAGAAGTAACTTTAATTTAATATTGTGAACTTTGAAAAGTTATTTTACAGCTTTCATCAAAAATGATAACAATCTATACAGTAGTTTTTGTCTTGAGTTTTCCTATCAATAGAACGGTTCAGTGTGTATCCAGTCAAAAAAATAAAAATGAAACAAACAAACACAAGAATAGGAGGCAGGAAAAAAAGGAGACCAGCTTTTTGATTCGAGTCTTGTGTTCTATCAAATGCTTGTCATTTTATGAGGAGTCCATCTTATTCATTGCGATGGAGCCGCTAACAAAGTAACCATCGCATAACAGCCAAATATGGAAAAGAAAAACATCATGAATGGTCAGTGATTTCTGTTAAATAGTCCTCACACATCAGCATATTAAAAGCCATTTTTCTGTTAGATGGCAGATTGCAGACTCACATTACAGGAGACAGCACTTAAACCATTCATGAAAGAGCCCTAAAGACCGATCATTGACAGTAAAATTAGACTCAAGTCACAGCGTTACAGACTAGGAGTCAAAACTTCAGCTCCGGGGGCAAGGCATTGTGCTCTGACATCGAGTCACTTTGCTCAGGGTGAGAAATTCATCACTGGTACCTTACAAAGTGCCGTGGCACGACCCAAAGCATGCAGGTTTGCATGCACCTCCAGCTAAAGTGAGCATCCACTTCAGAGCGAACGGTGACACTGTAGAATATGGCTTTGAGCTTCTCCCCCTCTTGTGAACGCAGCAGACATAAACGAATGGAAAAAGGCAGCCTTTTGCTTTAAATTAATGAGAAAGTGCAACCCATCGCACTAGCAACACATAAAAAATAAATCATATAGTCTCTCTTTATAATCCTTCAAGTTCCCTCTCATTTTCCTTCATAATACAAACAACAGAAAAAGGACAAATAATTCATTTAACCCTCCTTGCTTTAAGTAAACCAGACCAATTTGTGCTTTTTATCTGGAAAGAAATCCCTTAAGTAACTCTGTGGCAACAGTTATTGGTAGTGGTGGTTGTGAAGTCTGTACAAGTGATTGTACGCTTATGGGTTTGCATTGTTAAGGCATCTATACTGCTGGTACTGATATACGTGAGAGAGATAATGGAATAGACAGATCTATAAGCAGGCATAAATAATCAGATAAATAAAAGATGAAAGAAAAGACTAAAAAGAACAGATAAAAACTTCATCGAAAACGTCCTTCTAGGTTCGACGCGCAAAATAAAACCATCAAGAAGAGCCCATGCATATTATTACAATAGTACAGGTTCTGTAAGCCTCAAAGAAAAGATATAGATTTATATATTCATCATATATTTATATATATAATTAAAAAAAAATCTACATAATTAAATGCTGTGAGATGCTACTTTTTTGCCATACATTAAAACATTTCAAAAGGAAAACAATTGCTTCTTAACTTACAAATTATACAAAAATAGACAATGGCTTTTTACGAATAGAACTTACTTAAAAAAAAAAAAATTGGAAGCTTGACATGATATAAAACATGGATCTAAATTCAAACAAATGCATTAACAATAAAGACAATGCCGGTGATGAAAGCGAACAGATGGACAAACAATCACAACAAACCTTACGCAATCAAAGTAAATTTGGGGAGAAAAGCAATATACAAAATCTGGATATACATACATTATTTATATGGATATTTTACAGAGACTCCCCTCTTTTTGTCCAGAATCCATGATTTGTGTTTGCTGAAGTTTGTGAGATTTTATGTAATTTATGCAATGAACTGAACATCAGTGTTATTATGAGCTGCCTTAAGCCATTCTGAGATAAATACAAATAAAACAAAGACTTTGGCAACAGAAAGTATATGTACAAAAATAGACGACTACCAAAGTGAGCCAATCAAACTGCTGTATGTTAGGTGTTTGACACATTTGGAAAGCATTCTTCATACAGTGCTGTCTGAACATGAAAATGCTTTGCTAATTCAAGTCATGTCCCCCAAAACAAGCCAAAGAAACACACAAAAAGGAAAAATGGGTTGTTTTAACAGTCGGCTCTGAAATAGCATACTTAATTTAACCTAGCGAACACAGCAAACCAAACACATTAAAATATATATATCACAGTTTCATTTTTCATAGACAAAGCAAAAATTAAAATTAAAATCAAAAACAAATCCTCACATTCCTTGAGCACACATAAAATGAATTTTTTTTTAAATTAAATGGCATTGCAACCGAGGGCTCTTTCCTTCAGTCCATCTGTTTACTGCATATCTCTGCTCTATTTAGCAACAAATATTTGCATGAACATAAATACTGATTTGTTGTGTTTTTCTTCTCTTTGAGGATGAATCTGAACATTGAAAAATTACAGCATGACAGCGTTTAATAACTCTTAAATAACTTTCCTACATCATAACCATTCAAACCGGCTGGTACCCAGATGCTTCGTAAAAAAAAAAAGAAAAAAGAAAAAAAATATTATAGGGAAGTGAGTATGGCGCTACAATTTCACTTTGTACGAAAACAAACAACATTATGGCAAACTATTTGTTGGCTTCTCTCTGGGACAAAAAACCCTCCCTTCTTCTTCTCTGTATTCAAACAATTGGCCTAAATATTCTCATTTGGATTTTTCACGAATGTGTCTGTTCATATAAAAACTGGTCAGTATTAACAGAGATCTGTGCTGTTGCCCCGTAACTGCTCTCAGAAACATTAGGGATGCACCCGCTCCTGAAGTGTCATGTTTGTGTGATACAGTCTGTAAAAAAGGCATGTGATCATTGAATTCATCCAAAAAGCCCATGAACAAAATGAAAAGGAGTTCCATCTCTCCTTTCTGCATGGGCAAAACACGGGGGGTAAAGTCCTTCGTAACAGCAGTCCAGAAATTGGCTTAAAAACAAAAGAGCTGTATATCAGTCTCCCCATCAGGGAGCCATTATATGAACAATTCATCAATCCAATTAGTGATAACACTATAGGACAGCTTCGCAACGCATTAGCTAATGCTTCTCTCCCATGAGGACAAAGCTCCACGGGTTCGGAGGAGACGTTCAGGATATTCTTACAGTCTGAGGGATTTTGCATTTACATGAAGAGCGTAGAGGACAAACTCAGTGTATGCATGTAGTTGGAGCTATTTTTACTCTTAAAAATGACTTCCATTGGTGTAATCCAGTCATATTAAATAATATATTTGACTTGAATAAAAACAGGTCATTTAAAGCAGTTTTTTATTTGACTGTAGCTTTTCGCCTGTGTTTCGATGAGCGACTGAGTGTTTACTTCATGTGCCTATGGGGACCGACGCACATTTATGCGGACATCATTTTTACGAGACAAATTATAAACAAACAGCTATGCTAATAAAAAGTGCATGCAGTGTATACATAGTCTGACCCAAATGAACTTGCTTGCCAACACTTAAACAAAAATAGCTTGAGATTCGATAAATAATTTTTGTTCTCAAACATTAAACAACGTTCAGTCAAACATTACTATCACTTCTATTCAGTATTAGCCAAGAGGAAGCACGTCCCATGAGCACTGAGCTTGGTTTCTCTCTCTATCGCTCCCCACTTTCAGCAGGCCACATCACCGCACCAGATTTTTCTTGCAGCATATTGGCTTCCTATTGATTTCCTCTCTCTGCTCCCTCATCTCTAATTCCTGGGGGGGGGGGGAAGAGTGGTGACCGACAATCGGTCATTAGGTCAGAGTGCTGAGTGCATATCAACATATGGAGAGGAAGCACTCCACGCTCGCAGATAAGAGATGTCTGCCTCAAATGCTCAATTACTTTAATATTGTCTCACTGTGGATGTCTAGATATTTCAGATCAACACCCAGGGCCAAATGCTGCGCAGAGTAATTGTCATAAATCAGAGAATGCTGATTATGGCTTTGTTTCAGACAACAGTGAACATATGTTTTTATAGATGTCACAAAAGTGGTTTTATGTAGCCTGCTACAATTTGGCGGAATCTCAAAAAAAAAAAATAAATAAATAAAGAAATTTAATAATAATAATAAAATCTGGATGAAAAAATAAAACCTATTCTTAGGACCATTAAAATTTTGTTTACATTGTGTCATTTTTATGAGCATATTTTGTGAACAATTTGTAATTGTGTTTTGATTGATTTTTAAATTAGTGGATGTTAACTGGCTTATAGTTAGTTAACTGACAAAATCCTTGTATTCTACACTCCACAGCCACAAGTGAACTCTGAGGAGGACTTGACACAGGAAGCAGGAAGTCAGGCAGGAAATGAAACACATATGACATGCTCTTGGAGACGCACAGCAGGCCCCCACTGACTGAGCAGAAGTGAGGAGAACGAGGGAGGATGAAGGGAGAGGATGATCTGACAGTCATGCTGATGGATGGCTTAATGGATAGAAAGAGAGGATGATGAAGAAAGAGTGTGAGACAGGTGTAACATACTTCAGGAGAAGGCCAGTCCCTGCAGGGAGTTGGCGGTGGAGTACTTGCTAGAGTCCACAAAAGATTGATCTACTGGAAGCAGAGGGAGAAAGCAGGGGAAGGAAGATGAAGGAAACAAAAAGAGATTTATTTTTTAGTGCAAAAAGAGGAATTGGGTCAGAGAGGCAAATGTAAAAACAGATTACCGCAAGTTAGGACAAACTGACAGCTGTCTAAGTGTTAGAAGGCTGTAGATCAGACACTCCAGCTCTGTTTCAAAACAAGTGAGTTGCATCACTGCCAACTGCCTACATAGACAGCTGCCTTTCAACTGGAATGGAACCTCATAAGTGACTACTTGGAAAACTTTACATAGCCACAGATTCCTTGCGTCACATCAACAGTGCTCTGCATGGAAGACTTTTGATTGAAGAAATTGGTGAAAACTATGTGTCATTGAAGGCAACATAATTAGTTTATTGTCATTTTGGAGTCAGCGCAATTGGTTTTATAACTGAGCACTTAGAAACAACACTGCACAGCAAAATCATTATACACAGACACACACATACATACACTATCGTTTAAAAGCTTGGAGTCAGTAGGATTTTATTTTAAAAAGTTAATACTTCAGCAAGGAGACATTAAATTGATCAAAAGTGACAGTACAGACTTTTACATTGCTGCAAAAGATTTCTATTTGAAATAAATGCTGTTGTTTTGATCTCACTATTCATCAAAGAATCCTGAAAAAAGTATCACGGTTTCTACGAAAATATTAAGTAGCACGAGAATTGTTATATTAGAATGATTTCTGAATGATCATGTGACACTAAAGACTGGAGTAATGGCTGCTAAAAATTCAGCTTTGCTATCACAAGATTAAATTACATTTTTAAAATACATTACAATAAAAAAGTATTTCACAATATTATAGTTTTACTGTATTTTTGATCAAATAAATGCAGCCTTGTTGAGACTTCTTTCAAAAAAGAATAAAAACTGGTTACCGATCCGAAAATTTCACCTTGGAGGCCGTTTCCATTGGCACTGGTGCAGGTGGGGGGTGGCGAGACCTGGGGCCGCACAACGGGAGCAAAAGCGCTCTTCTGTTTGACTGCAGACACCATGTTGGCCGGAGAGAAAGAGAAGATGCCTGAGGAACTGCTGCAGTTGGAGGGAAGACTGGTGGAGGAGGCCATGGTGGGACTGGAAGGAACAACTGAGGGACGGGAATGAACGAGTGAGGGAAAACGCTTTTAGGGTAGATCAGAGCATACCTGAAGCACATGATTTGATTTTTAAAAAAAATAAAATTATAGGTGGTAATGATATGTATATACAATGTTAGATCATTTATTTTTATAGTATTCCTTGACTGGAGGTTCACAGTCCTCAAGCTCCACAGATGCACTGTCTGCTCCTCTCAGAACAACATTAGCGCTGGTCCCTCCTCTGCCCCATCTCTACCGCCTCTCCTTTTGTCTATTAATACCCTAAGAGCATTTTTCCCCTCAACGATTTTACAATTACTCCTGTCGTATTTCAGTTGCTCTCTTATATCCTGCTCTACCTTTATTGTTGTTATTATTCTGCGCTTAAATTTTATGGCACTTTCCCAAGTAAATTCTCCTGATAGTGTCATAATCCATTTATGAAGGCCTAACTAATCAATTAATGAAAATTGGAGCCCACAAAGTCAGCTCTCTCGCATTGATTGAAAGTGTCAGCGTGGAGTCAGTGAGCCTGTTAAAATGAATGATTTCTGAATGATCATGTGACACTAAAGACTGGAGTAATGGCTGCTAAAAATTCAGCTTTGCTATCACAAGATTAAATTACATTTTTAAAATACATTACAATAAAAAAGTATTTCACAATATTATAGTTTTACTGTATTTTTGATCAAATAAATGCAGCCTTGTTGAGACTTCTTTCAAAAAAGAATAAAAACTGGTTACCGATCCGAAAATTTTGAAGGTGTGTGTCTGTGTATACACACACACACGCACGCACGCACGGACACACGCACGCACACAAAAAAACTTAAATTAACATATTTAAACCGAATGTTCATATTTGTGCTTGCCCTTTCTTGGAGAGCTCAAGCTTTTCATTCTGCTGTTCCACTCACCTTGGAGGCCGTTTCCATTGGCACTGGTGCAGGTGGGGGGTGGCGAGACCTGGGGCCGCACAACGGGAGCAAAAGCGCTCTTCTGTTTGACTGCAGACACCATGTTGGCCGGAGAGAAAGAGAAGATGCCTGAGGAACTGCTGCAGTTGGAGGGAAGACTGGTGGAGGAGGCCATGGTGGGACTGGAAGGAACAACTGAGGGACGGGAATGAACGAGTGAGGGAAAACGCTTTTAGGGTAGATCAGAGCATACCTGAAGCACATGATTTGATTTTTTTTAAAAATAAAATTATAGGTGGTAATGATATGTATATACAATGTTAGATCATTTATTTTTATAGTATTCCTTGACTGGAGGTTCACAGTCCTCAAGCTCCACAGATGCACTGTCTGCTCCTCTCAGAACAACATTAGCGCTGGTCCCTCCTCTGCCCCATCTCTACCGCCTCTCCTTTTGTCTATTAATACCCTAAGAGCATTTTTCCCCTCAACGATTTTACAATTACTCCTGTCGTATTTCAGTTGCTCTCTTATATCCTGCTCTACCTTTATTGTTGTTATTATTCTGCGCTTAAATTTTATGGCACTTTCCCAAGTAAATTCTCCTGATAGTGTCATAATCCATTTATGAAGGCCTAACTAATCAATTAATGAAAATTGGAGCCCACAAAGTCAGCTCTCTCGCATTGATTGAAAGTGTCAGCGTGGAGTCAGTGAGCCTGTTAAAATACTTGTTAACATCACGGAATCAAAGTACCGAAGTTGAATTGCTTCTCCTGCAATTAGTTTATTGATTTAATTAAGACGCTTTAATTTAGAAGCCGCGCGAGAAGATTGGTGTTATATGAATGGCTAAGCATTATAGACAGCGTCTGATCATGACTAGTTCAAATGTTTGGGGTCGGTAAGAAGAAGTCTCTTATGCTCATCAACGCTGCATTTATCTGATCAAAAACTCAGTAATAACAGTAATGTTGTGAAATATTGCCACAAATTAAAATAACAGTTTTCTATTTTGATATATTTAAAAATGTAACGTATTCCTGTGATGACCAAGCTGAATTTTCAGCATCCTTACTCCAGTCTTCAGTGTCATATGATCCTTCAGAAATCATTCTAATATGCTGATTTGCTGCTCAAGAAACATTTTGTGTGAATACTCATATCTATGCGCACCTGATTCAAAAATGTATAAGAGAGAGATAAACAGACATAGAGAGGATCAGTACTCACTGGCATAAGGAGAGTTGGCAGCAGAGCCATTGAGGAAGTTGGGCGACCCTCCCAGCGTGGTCATGCCTGTGTTGCCGTATCCATTCATATTGGTAGAGACGGTACTGTAGCTACTCTGCTGGGGTGTCGTGCTGGGTACATAACCATGAGGGGACACACTGCTTGTGTTTCGACTGAAACCTGAAACACACACTCATAGTAATAAGGAAAAGAAATAGGAAAGAATACATTTAGAAACAAACAGAATCAGCTCCTGGTCACCATTGACTTTCATTGTATGGAAAAGAGCACCGTGAGCATTCTACCAAACATCTCCTTTTTTTGTTACACAGTAGAAATAAAGTCATACACCTCCGGAATGACATGACAGTGAATGAATGATGATAGAAATCTCATTTTGGGGTAAACTGTTCCTTAAAAGAAAGATCTGTGTGTCAGTGGTATACAGAGGCAGATAGGACAGGAGGAGGATGTGGACTATAAATATACATCAGGACATTAAACGCTGACATGGGTGAAAGCAGCAGGAAGTTCTCGCTCCAGGAGTCCCCGCTGTCTGGTACAAAGGCAGCGCTCATCTCTGCTCTGCTTACTATTCATTCTCCCTTTCATCAGACGACTGATACATTACTGCTGACTTAATACAAATCATTCATTGTCACAGAGGCCAAGGAATGCTGAGGTAAAGGAGCCTGGAGGTTCAGGGAGCATTGCTGAACGCTTGTATCTGTCTGCATGCTGTCTATCTCGCTACTTTTCACCCACTTGCCTAAGGTTTGAAGGACGTAGCAGACTACTGAATACCGTGAACTTGCACACTTTAATGGGACTATCCAGAATCACTCTAACACAAAAAGGAGTCAAATGGAAAGATTGACAATGATTTATTAAATACATTGCAGCAATATTTCAGTGCATTTAGCACCTGGTTAAACTCAACTGAGAGTGGTTAGAGAAACAACTGGTTAGTGGTTTTAGTGTTTGCACTAAAATACCATGTGCAAAAGTGAATTATTAATCCTTAATATCTCTCTTTGCACACACACACACACACACACACACACACACACAGGTTTGTTTTTGTGAAAAGTGGGGACATCCCATAGGCGTAATGGTTTAACACACACACACAAACACAAACTCTCATAGTAAATCACTTTTTTTGTGAATGGCCAAAATATCTTGTGGTTTTTTAAAGATTGATGGCATCTCTGCTCACCCTGATTGGCTCCTTGTGTGGACTCAGAGACATTGACAGCGAGCTGGCCGTGGAAGGAGTTGACTCCCATCATGCCAGCGTGAACTGAGCTGTTAGCCAGACCTGGCAGCTGGTTGTGTCCACGTGGGACATTGTAGAGTGCCTCTGCGATATCTGCTGCTCTTTTCAGAATGATCTCCTGTCAGGATCAACACAGAAATAGACCAATCCAATGATTAGAAGGATACTAGTAAGCCAACTGCCTGAAAAAAAACACTCTCTTTCAAATAATCATACAGTATAAATAATAACAGTTTGACTAAATAAGTAATCATAACCCAATAAAATACAATCAATCAGTCAATAAATAATAAAAAATAACAGTTAATATTAAACAACAATTTAAAAACCCCAAATACCCACTGCACCTTATTGTTTAGTATTTTGAAAATTGTCTTAAAATAATTATATCTAAGTATGGGCAACCTACAGTATGAGTTGCCAGATAAACACACCTGGTCAAATATGATCATATAAATCAATATATTCTTAATACTAAAAGAACAAAATCTAGAAGTATAATCATTAAAGATGTGTTTATCTGCTAATCAGCTAGAGCAGAAAACTTTAATTTTGGGGGCTGGGAAAGGGGGGCTGCACATTTTGATGGAAAATTCATGTCTCAAATTCACCGTCATAAAGACAAAAGGACCGAGTGGAGATTGGGGGGACAGGGGGTTCTGAGAGAGCTCTTTGAGTGGGTTGATGACTGGAGTCATGCTCCATCCACTGCCCAGCCTAAATAATTCAGCATCACTGCACTCATGCTCAGTTCTGCAATCGATGAGCATATACCCTCACTCGCAGTTCATAACTGATCTAACATTGAAGATGCCCTTGTGGTCCTTCAAACCAATGAGAGAGAGCTCTGAAGGAATTACATTGGGGGATTTATGTTGAGAGAATATGTTAGGGAATATTAGAGAACAATTCTATGGTCTTAAAGCTCTAAAATGGCCTTAACTGGAAACAAATGCTTAACTGTGCTGTTTAATTAAACCATTTAAATGTGGAACATTTTATTATTTGCACTGATCCTATAACACAATGTGCATTTTTTTTTTTTTACTAATAATACAGTTTGCACTCTCTCTTGTGCACATGCATTCAAGTCTGAGAGGGTGCGAAACGAGATCTTATTTTTTTGTCGAGTTCAATTAAATTTCTAATAATATTAAATATTTTGTTAAAATTATCATAACAAATGACTGATTTCTAAGATAATTTTAGAATGTGATTTCTAAAAATTATTTAAAAAAAAGTTATAAAATACATTTTAGACCAAATTTATTTTTTAATCATGATTTCTGTGTGAAAATTCACCTAAACAGATTTTATGCACAAATACATGTGTATGCATGGATATGGAATGAGGCCCTGTTTATGGTTTGATGTTTCATTGTGTTCACCTGAATCTCACCTGATTATTGTGTGGCATCCCATACAGAGCTTCCACCAGGTCTGCTGCCCTCTTCAGAATCACCTCCTATATAACAGAAAAGATAAAAGGTGGCACTTTAGCTTTCCATGTCAATTTTGATGTCAAATGCACAAAACATGATCTTGATCACTAGATTAATTTACTTGACAACTGATAATATAATTGATAAAATGGTAAAATTTTCAGATAATATATCTTAAAACAAGAAAAAAAAAAAGTATTTCAAGACATATTTTCTAAAAGCAGTTCCTAATATCATATGCCATTATTTTATGAAATTAAGAATTTTAAGAATGTTTAGAAAGCAACGTTAATTTTTTATTTATTTAGCCAACAAATTTTTCTAGTCTATTTGTTTATTTGTCGACAAGCACAAACAAACTTACAGTACAATTACTACAGAATCAGTCCCTTTAGAACAATATCAGGTTAAGTGCTTTGCTAAAGGGCAAAATGCTAACAGGGCTCTTCAGTTCATAGATCACCCCTGACAGGGTTTGAACATGCAACCTTTGAATTGCTAGCCAATATCCTTGACCACAACTCCCCTACAATTTGCAGAGGGTATACATTTTAGAAAACACCTTAACAGCACCATACTTTACCTAGCTCTTCCTACCAACAGTACTGCCACGATCCCATGTATAATACATGAATACAAACACATTTAAAGCAAATACATGCATGTTAGTGCATGCAAACGACTGCTCCGCAGGAGGCACGGGCAACAGTAACGCTATTTTCCTTCCAGGTAATCGACTTTCATAACTGGAAACCTATTTATTACCATCCTTTTCACACATTAAACATTTATTTACAGTGTTCTTTACACTGTGTATTCATTTCCTTTCTTCCAAGCCCTCTTCTTCTCTTCATTTTTTTTTAAACCCTGAAGCTCCAGTGGAACCCTTTTTAAAAGTTAATGTGCTGGTGCTGAGGAAATAAGCTCGCAGTGCGACAACCAGAAAATTGTTCTCACCCTCGGCGTGTAACCCTCGCTGCGAACAAGCCCCCGAGCATGTGTGCCTGCCTGCCAGCCGACATATTGCCTTTCAATCAGCCCCCTCCGCCTCCCCCCGACGGCCCCAAATGCAACACACAGACACGAACATGACAAGGGGGTCAGCAAAGCAATAAAGATTTTTAGTGCGCTGTCCAAGGTGCTAAATTCACTCAATAATGGGAGCTCTGGCACTGCGTTAACCCCTCGTTAGGGGTGCTTCGCGGGGGAGGCACCAGTCTCCGTTCGCCCGGGCTTGGGCTGGGTGATTGAGAGAAGTGCGGGAGCCTGGGGAGGCCTAAAGTGGTGCTTTAGTATGGATGTGTGACTCCAACGGGCTCTATTCTCCTTTACCCTCTTCTTCGAGGGATGGTGGAAGAACATAAGGGATGGGAAGCATTAGTCCATGGCTTGGTCCCCTGCTGCACTGTGTCATTTATCCAGTACACCTCTCACACTCTCATCTACTTCTCTCCCTTTCGCTCCCACTCTCCTTTGTTAGAAGGTCTCGTCCTTACCTATCGATCTCCCGTCATTACGATATTGGGGGGTGGGGGAGAGATCTGTTGAGAGGGCAAATGCAATAAGGAAGGGGCCAAAAGTTTGTCCAGACAAACAAATAAATGCTATTAGCACGGGCCGTGTGTGGTGGCCCTGTGTCTGGAAGCAGAGCCTATTTCCTGGGCGAGTAGCAGGGCTTCCAGTAAGGGCCGAGCAGGGAGCCAGGAGCGGTAAACAGGAAAGAAACCTGATCTTGGATCTGCGCGTCTGTATAGCTGTCTATCAGTCAGAGCCATCATAACCCCTGCTCAATCCTCCCCCCTTCTCCGCTCCTTCAGTGCGGCCATGAGCTATGAGGACTCGATCTCCGTTTTGACCCATTCGGAGTGTCTTTAGCACCCTGACAGGTGTTTTCCAGCTTTGTTTTCCATCAACGTGAAAGCTGTGATGTATATATACACATTCATAGAAATACATAAGCACATATAAATGCGAATGTGTGCAACCAAACAACCCCAGGCGTAGTGTTTCGCAGAATATAATATCAAATAGCCCACAGCGCAGCACAGTAAGGGCCAGCCTCCACATTAATGTGCGCCGGACATTGAATCTGTTCCTGTGTGTAAATTATGGTGGCTGGTAATATGATATACATTAATTAGGAAGGGGACTGCTGAAAAAATGAAATAAGGCCCGGGTCACATCTGGAATGATAAGGCAATGGCGTCTGCACATTTACAAGGAAGCCAGGCCTGTAAAAACATGACAAAATTATTCCTGTGCTTGTTCATTTGCAATTTTATCATCTCCTAATGTTCTATTAGAGCAGTAATACCAGCGGGGTCACCGTCGTCGCTCATGCGGAACGGAACGGAGTGATGATGTCATACTTCCTGCTCTGCTTCCCTGACTTCATGGACTGCTGGTCTTGTGGAGGTTCTGGTTTTATTATCTTAACTGAGATCCCTCACACTGGGGTGCTGTGCAGTAATAACAAAATACATATATTTTATAAGTCCTTCAGTCCACAGAATCTCATGGAAACAAAGGCTGTCAAATGATTAAAAATCTTAATTAAATGAATTACATGATATGAAAATTTGGGGGAAACGCCCCTACAGAAAATTATTTAAAAACATTGCATTGTAGTAGATTAGTAAAGCACTGGATAATCAAAAAAGTGGCTTCAGGAGTCAATGTACTTTTATTTTATTTCCATATTATCCATATTATATAATTAAAAAATACACTGTCAAGATACAAAAAAATAGTTACATTTTGAAAAAGGTGTTCCAAAAATTTATTTTAATTATGCTAATGGTAGGAAAACTAACCACCTTTTTCATTTTGGTAAGTAGATATTTATAAATATAACAAATATTAATACTGATTATAAATATTATTCATCATTTTTATTAATATTATTAATCATGCACTGAAAATTAAACTGACAACCTTACTGCAAGCATTCAAAAACTAAATACTAGAGTATAAGAACAGCACATACTATATATAGGGTGCACCAAGAGCAAACCCAATCCAAGTGGGATGTACATATAATCTGTGCAAGCTAACCACACAAACTCATATGCCTCTATCTGTTTTCAATAACTGCAAATGCTTGACTCAAACAGTGACCACACTGGTGTGTAATGTCATGCTGTTTATACCCACCAAGGCTGCAATCCATTTTGATGAATGAGGGCTATCATATAGTGAGCCTTTCCCTATCCTGACAATAATCTAATCTTCAGTTTCAAACACACCATTTGTCGCTGATGTAAGAGATAAGATACTCAAACGGTGAGTCAATTCAACTGTGATGGTTCCCAGAACAATGTGTCAGGTTTTAATCTGATAGAAAAGTGTTTTTACCGTAATAATCAGCAGCCCTATGACAGAGTTAGTTACTGTCAGTATAAGAGTACAGTGGTTCATCAAAATTATGGTTTGTGGTGTTATAATGTATGACAGTTAATATGTTTACATGCATTTTCCTGAATTTAAGCAAGTTTTTAAGGGTATATATGTGTTAATTACTTTTGCGTGAGGTAAACTGTGATGCATGCAAGAGTGCACTGAGTGAACGTGTCCATCGTATTGCGTAGACGTGGTGAATCACATATGAATTAGAGCAGAATGTCCATTACATGTGTTTGAACACAGCTGATGCGCACTTCTTTGACTTTCGCAGATTTGAGTTTGCTCGCTCGGTTGAATGTACTGCTTAACATGGTGGCTTATCCACCGAGTTTGTCAAATGCAAAATCAAATATCCTTAGTCTCCCTCCAATCTCCACCTCCTCCTCCATGTCTTCCTCCCATCAATATCTGCCCATCATAAATATCAGTCACTGTGCTCTTTAACTAATGTGGCTTCATAGCATAATTCATATTCTCTCCGGGCCTCAAAGGTTACTCTCTGAAAGTCAAAAATAACCTGTCTGTCCACATTTGCACAGTACAACATCGGAGTGCAGCCACCAAAAATTTGCAAAGACTCAATGACTTATATAACAAACACTATTAAAAGTTTCGCCACAGTTGTCTAGATTGGTGAATCCTAACTTTACTTGATTTGAGTTTTGCAATGCTGGTCTAGATAAATTTGTGCAGGTTAAGTTTAACTAGATCCATATTCAGATATTTTATAGTAGCCTTATGGATTTCCCAGCAATATATAAAGAGCACGCTGCAGTGTTACTCAGAAGCAGGATATTGTTCCTGGAAGCACAGATTGAATTCTGGACCCTGTGGAGGCAGCCAATGGGGATCAGGTGGATGTGAAGTGACAGGGAAAATGTAGGAAACAATGCTAACAGAAGAGATGGAGAGAGACCAAACAAGGCCGCAGCCTAGATGTGCTGAATATGGGCCAGGTGCATTGTGGGACGCAGTTTCCACTATTCAATTAGTAGTTTCTCCTCGAAATTATTCCCTACACAATATATAAATATATAAATTCTACTATAAAAAAGAAAAGAAATATTTTTAATGTATTATATTAATCAGTTTATTTAAACACCCATTTAAAATATTAAATAATATAAAATATAACATATATACACACTTACATACATTATATACATGCAATGCAACACTCGATTTTAAACAATACTTTAGGGGGCTCTTGCTCCATTCGAGGGGTCATTGGGGCCCTGAATGTCCTAATTTCACATATCCTCACTATCACTAGTACCACATATGCGAAAATCCTGTTGTTATAAGATATTTCAGATGCCATAATTCATTTTTTCAAAATATCACAGAAAAAAAAAAACATCTTGTTGAACTATTGCTGTGTAATAAATTTGCAGGGCTGGATAACATAGTAGCACGCTTGTTCAAGGACTGAGAGAAACAAGTTAACCTGCCGTGTTCCACACTTGGCTATCACCTGTGATTGAGTCCAGCAGTTTAGAGAAGTGCCGTCAACAAACTGTTATTGCCTCAATAAAGGGCAAAATCAATAGTGCTGAAATGAGTGGCTGGGCGCAGTAGCCGACGCTGTTAATATCTCGCTGAGAGTGTTCGAACGAGAGGAGGAGGGACAGAAATAAGGAGGGGAAGACAGAGAGAGAGAGATGCGTACAACCTCAAGTACATGAGGAAATCAGGGTAATATCCATCTGCTAACACCAGCCTTGTCTTGACAACCGGCCGGACATATATAGGTACACCAAGAAATTATTTCTAATTTACCCTTTCCATGTTCACTACCTCTACACCCTCTTTCCTCATGCAGCCTTGGCTGCCTCTTCCCCCTTGTGGTGACTCAATTATTGTTGGGCGAGCAGTAATAAAGTGAGGGCTGTGGTGCCTTCGATCGGCTGACCTGTGAGAAGGCAGCACCGGACAGCTGACTTCACCATGATGGATCACCCTGGTCTCTCTCTCTCTCTCTCTCTCTCTCCACCTTCCTACCTCTGTTCCTTTTGTTCTCTTTCTCTCTCTCTCTCTGCCAACCTGTCAAGGCCAAGGACTAAAGGTGTACATGTTAGTGCGTTGTTGAACATATTGGGATATTGTTTTCCATGTGATCTGCATTCTCTGAAGATAAACATTAACTTATTTGACATTCATTTTTTCCATAGAGAAAAAATTAAATCTGTCCGCAAAGACATACCATGAGCTCGGAGGTTGTTAAGTGATAGAATATGCTTCTGTAGAAGCCAAAAGTCAGTGTGATTTCAACTGCACTACATATAATCCTCCAAGACATCAAGACTACAGGTTCTACTTGGAACCAGAAAAAAACAGAAATGAAAACCACATGGAAAAAGCTCAACAGCGACATCCCACTCTCATGAAGCACTGTGAATAACTTCAAATTCATCAAATATATAGAGTTAATCTTGCACCTTCGGCTCTTTCTCTAATTTTCAAATACTTGTTTTGCTTCAAAGTTTGAAATGGTGTGATTCATGAGTTGCATGGTTTATTTGCAACTCATGAATCATGAGTTGCAAATAAACCAGTTGCATGGTTTATTTATCACAATTTACTCATTATTAAGGATTTTTTAAAACCCCAATTAAGAAAAAATGAATGCATTACACGCACGCACACGCACACACACACACACACACACACACATACACACACACACACACACACCATACACCATACAGTATTTTTATGTCTTTCAGTAAAAAAAGTTTAACATTCTTGAAATAAGACATTTACTTGAGAAGCAAAACCTTTAAGATATTAAGGTTTGTATTCAGACAAATAGAACAAAATTTAGTGAGGTGTAAAGGGAAAAAATAAAAAATGCAAATAGGGTAATGAAAATAAATTACATTACTTTGTTTTATTTTTCTTTAAAATATGACTATTTTTCTTACCAATTGGAAAATATTTTTCTTGTTTTAAGCATAAACCTTAATTAATTTTGTTAGATTTATCTGAAAACAAGACTTAATATGTCTTTTTTTTTCAAGTGGGCTTGCTGAAAAAGTGGGCATGTACTTCAGTATCCTAATATAACCAAACAAGCATCTAACTGCTTCCTCCGGGACTTCCCCTATACCTGACCCCGAAGCTATCTCACTGAGTATTTTTGCCTACCTGTTTTATTCAGCAGCTCTAATAGAGTGAGGCTGCTCACTTGTGGGCCATCCCACCCTATTCATTAAAAGGTAAGGAATCAGTTAAAACTATGGGCGGCTGTTAAGCAGGCTCTCTGGGGAGTGCAGCCACGAGTGTATTCAAATCTACCTCCTTTATGCTGAAAACGGTGGGAAAGATATGACCCCGATAAGTATATGATAAGTGACCCCGGCCATGACCCACCTAATGCATTCAGCTTTATCATCAGCCCAGGAAAATGAGTCCAAATCAAGCCAAGGTTAAGACCACAGAGAGCATATGTGAGCAACATGCTGCCCCAGTTTCAATGAAAATTACCAGACTGTTCCAATATGGCAGACAGATAAAAATAATCGTCATGAGGTGCATTTAACTTTTCCTCTTTCTGCAGAGAAGCTAATTCTCTGACTGATAAGCAAATTATAAAAACAGGGTTCCCAAATCTTGTGACCAGTTGATTCCCATGGCATGTTGATTTTTAACAATCATTTCCTAGATCTTACACTAAAAAAGCTATTTCTAAGCAATGAAATAAGCTGAGCAATAAAAAAATTAATAAAAGGATTTTCCAGGATTACAATTTTATGAATTTGGAAAAGAACAACACAATTGTAAAATGTAAAAAAAAAAATCCTGATATTTCCAGATGACTGTGGGAACCTTCAATATGCTCTTTTAAATGTCTAGCCATTTATATTTTCATGTATAGGTAATCTGTCATTGTAAGGGGATATTTATATCTTCATCAGTGACATCAATGAGCTAGTAATGTAATAGTCCCCATCAGCATAATGTGGGACGAGTAGCAACACATGTCTGCTGGGCCCTTTAGCGGTTCAGCTCAGTGTTTTAGTACACAATGGAGGGCGAGTGTGTGTTTGCTAGTGTGTGTGTGTGTGTGTGTGTGTGTGTGTGTGTGGGTTCAGACTGTGGGACTGCAGAGGAAGGTATTCAGACAATGTCCATGTGGTTCATTAGGGACTGAGATCAAACACTGTTGCCCTCTTTAGCCCCACTGACAGTAGACAGAAGATCTGTCCTCTCCCCACCAGCTGGGGAATGGAAACTAACATGAGGGAAGGGAAGTGAGGTAGTGAGTGAGTGAGTGAGGGAAGGGAAGAAGAAATAGAGAGATAGAGGAAGGATAAAACCTACATCAAGATAAAAATTAAATGAAAAACTTCACAAAATTGTTCATGACATATTTATTAAGCTACAGATAACATTTAGCAAATAATATCACTACACACTACCAGTCAAAAGTTTGGACATACTTAACAATGTTTTTCATGATCTAAAAACTCAAAAAGTAGTTTGTAGTCAAATATTAATTATTTAATTTGAAAGAACAATTATTTTTAAATAATAATTATTTTATTTTATTTTTGTTTTGTTTTGTTTTGTTGTAGTCAAATACGAATTGTGCCTAAGAATGAAATAAAGAAATAAAAATAAAATAATAAATAAAGAAATAATAATAATAAAAAAGGATTTAAGAATTTTTCCCCAAGTGGATAGCGAATGATCCCTCCCAAAGGATCCATTATTATGTGAATAAAATGTGGATACAAATATAATAATAATAATAATAATAATAAAGAATGAGGAGCGTCCTCACGTTTGACTGGTAGTGTATATTTTAAAACCTTGCCTGACTAGTTGAAAATGACCCGATGAATCTGTGCTGCAGCCCATGACCCATTTATTCCCAGAGTGCCTGCAAAATGTTAACTCTGACATCACAAAGGCACAGCTGTGATATCACTTCCTGTCAAGCACTCTACTAAATCACCAAACAATGTGCCTCAATGAAAAGAAGAAAGAAAACAGACTGTGTGCCAGGGTTATTATAGTCATCTAAAACTAAAACCATAAATCAGCTAGTTGCCAAGACAATATTTTTAGTTTAAGTTGATGCACTAAAATAACTACTTAAAATATATACATACATATAAAACTATAATACTATCTCAATGATACTAAAATAAAAGTGATGTGTGGTGCAGGTCACATGAGATTAGCAGCCCACTGTAACTACTTGGCCACCAATTACATTTGCCTGATTCCTCTAGGCTGGCTTTAGTTTGACACCACATTCGTTGACCCCCTGGGTCTAATTTGATGTGTTTAAGGTGCAATGGATTGGGAGGTGGCTCATGGGCCATGAATACTGATGGCCCAGCTTTGATACAGAAGGCTGCTATCAGCACAAGGTCAGTCCTGAGCGTGAGCAGGCCCAGCCAGCCATAATTACTCCCTTTTTTTTGTACACTATTAAGTGGTGCTGCTGGAGCGGGGCTCTGGGGTATAGGACACGCACAACATGATAAAGTAATGTTTATTTATCCCTCCCAAAGGATCCATGTACATGGCCTGCCTCTCCCTAAGAAGCGTGCATGGAGAGAGAAATAAACACCCAACTGGGTCCACAACTGGGCTCCTTTCACAAGAATACTGAACACAACTGCGTGAGAATGAATATACAGTACATAATCTCTGAACTGAAGGAGTCTGTAATGAATGGTTCAAATAACTAGACCATGGCTATCGGAAATCGGGACCAGTGTGTTTATGCTAGCAATTGCTCTTTGAAAATAAAAGTGAACTACAGAAAATAAAGTCAACGGTTAATGTCAACACCGAAACCCATTTTACTTATAATGTGAATGAGAAAATATCTGGACGGGACTTATTATTTAGGAATTCTTATTCTTTTTACATACCAGATTGGAGCCAAACATTTTTTGTGATTTTGCAAAAAAAAAAAAGTCTAAACAGTTATTTGGTAACTGGTTAACCTAGTAGCCTGTTTGGCCCTAATTGATGTCAGCGGAAAACAAAAGTTGTTTGAAAGGATAATCTTTAGAATAATGCACCAACGAATTGTTCACAATAAGACCAGAAACGTGTATAGAGAAAGTAAATGGGGTCAATATTGACTTCATGCTGACTTTAAAGAAAAGAAAGGACAATACGTCATGCTAAAGAACTGACCTTTGGTAAGCGCTCAGGGTCGCCTGGGTGTCTAGGGATCACCTTCTGTAGCCGCTGGAAACCATAGTCAATTGTGGGTTCATTCAGTGCTACAGGAAAGAGAAAATTCAACCATGTTACCGCAAGGAAATTCAACACCCATCTGCAATTACCATTACAAAGAAATGTATATAAAACATAAGTGTCATTTCCTTCAGACCTCAATACGGTTCCAAAAAACACAAAAGCAAATAGCAATAAAATGATAACTAAAGTATCAAATATTATGTTTCCTAACTAGCTGCCAAAATATCTGTATCAATTCCCACTATGCTTTAGCAGTTTGCAACCACAAGGCACCACTTTATGAATAAAATAACACTTGAGCAGTTTGTGTGAATGGATCCTGTCTATTTTTGCAGTCGGTGTAAAGGCACAACCTTCATGGAAAGCTTCAAAAACTGGTCGTGAACAGTGAGACTTGTGACAGGTTCAACTGAATTGCAAATGCTACAGTTTAACAGCAATGTGACTGTTTTTGCTTGTGTGTCAGGCAAAATATTCTGGGTTCAGTACAAGTTCAGCTCAACAGACAGTATGCGCAGCATAATGTTGATTACCAGAAAAAGTTATTTCCACTTGTCCTTCCTTTTCCTTAAAAAAAAGCAAAAACATGGGAAACAGTAAGGTACTTGCAATGGAAGTAAATGATGTAAATGTTAATATACTCACAGTTTCAGTGGTACAGCTACAAGATGTAAATAATGCAAACAATATATATATATATATAAAACAAAGACTAACAACGACTGGCACAGATCTTATGATGACCAGAAGCAGCCAGATAATTTCATCTATAAGCATGTTTAAGATCAGCACAGAACTAATAGGTGCCTTTTTAAATTTGCTGTGTCCTTAAACAAACTCCAATAACAAATAATTCTGAATTCAACTCCCTCTTCTGTTTTGTATACATAAGCACCAAGTAATCTGCAAAACAAATCTATAGACCTCCGTTATAAGCAAATAATTCAATTAAAGTTTTCATTTCTGTAGAGCGGCACCTCCCACTCCTCAGAGGCCCACAGACAGCTTCACGAATGCTTGCTAAGGACAGAGCAATAAGATAATATTGAAAAAGGAACCCGATCTGCGTGATAGGGCCAAACATCCTGCACGGGTGGACCACATGGTGCTTGGTCCAATGTTTTTCTAACCTCCCTGGATTGAGCAGGACTTTCACACTGAGACAATGGGTCTTTCTCCAGCACTGGCCCAAAGAGCTTGTTTGTGTGTTTATCTGTTGTGGTGCTAAACTCCAGCCCTCAGGGGCACATTCACACAGAGCCCTTTTGTGCTTCACTGAGAGAGAGTAAGAGATATATATGTCAGCAGAGATATTCGATATTTGATATGCAGCATACAGTGGTCCCAAAAGTATTTAGACATTTAAGCTATGTATGAATTTCAATGCGTTAGATAACAAACATCAAACCAAGTAGCATCAAAGAAATGTAAACCTTTTTTTCACAAGTGTTCGTCCTCTTACATAATTTTAAGTTGATTTTTAGTGAATGCACTGATAGAGGTTCACACAGGTGTCCTATCAGAATAACCATAAGAGTAGTTCATCACATTAACTATGGTCCACTAATGTTTGACAAGTGTCAAAATATTTTATATTCATTCTAAACTGTATATCCATTGTTTTTATCATTTAAAACCTAACAAACATCCTTCTGTAAAATGGTTGTCTTTGAAAAGTGTGCTATCCTATTTTAAAATAAATGGCTTGTTTTAAAATTCATACATTTTAAAGTGTCCAAACCATTTTTGGAGCCACTGGTTTTAAGCTGGATTTATGCTACAATGGGTTTAGAAAAGAATCACCCCACTTTAAAATAATCACATTTTGTTGCTTAGCAGTCTGAAATGAAGACAGACACAGTTTTTGTTTTATCCAGCTATATTTACTCAGTGCAACTTATAACATTCAAGTAAAAGATATAACACCACCAACAGGAAGTCCTGCCGGAGTTCTTGTATATGTACACACACATCTTTCCAAATCTTATTTTCCCATTCTCCCCTAGTTCAGCCAAGTTCAAAAACTTAAGGGACGTAACAGTAGTGCAACTGAAGCAAACAATCAACTATGAGTGGCTAGGCACTGTCAAAAGATCTCCGGGATAAAGTTGGGGGCAGGTACAAGTCGGGAGATGGATACAAACATTTTCAAAGGCTTTATCAATGCCTAGAAGCACAATGAAGCCTTTTATTAAGAAGAGGAAGGTATTTGGTACCACACAGACCCTCCCTGGATCAGGACATCGCTCCAAACTGGATGAAAGAGCCAGGAGGAAACTGGTAAGAGAGGGACCAAGAGGCCTACAGCAACTCTGAAGCAGTTGCAGGAATTTATGACAAAGAGTGGACTTTGTGTGCATGTGACAACAATACCACACATTCTCCACAAATGTGGCTTGTATGGGAGGGTTGTAAGAAAAAAGCCACTCCTCAAGAAAGGCCACATGCAGTCACAACTGAGCTTTGCCAAAACGCACCTTGAAGATTCTGAGGCCACATGAGACTAAAATTGAATTATTTGGCCTCAACACCAAACGATATGTCTGGCAGAAATTCAATACAGCTCACCATCTAAATAACAGCATTCCTACAGTAAAGCTTGGAGGTGGTAATATCTTGTTAAGGGGGTGTTTCTCTGCATCAGGGACTGGAGCACTTGTCAGGATAGAAGGAAAAATGAATGGGGCAAAATACCATCAAATTCTTGAGGATAATCTGCTGCCCTCTTCCAGAAAGTTGTCAATGGGAAGAAAGTTTACCTTCCAACAAGACAATGACCCGAAGCACACAGCAAAACTGAGCACACAGTGGTTGAAGGAGAAAAAGGTGAATGTCCTTGCATGGCCTAGTCAGAGCCCAGATTTAAACCCTACTGAAAATCTGTGGAATGACTTGAAGACTGCAGTCCACAAATGGTCACCATC